GCTTTCGAATGGCCTCAAATGATTTCCAAAAATTACCAAATTAAAATATGTTATACTTCAAGATGTTGGGAACAACTTTCATGAAGAACACTTCTTCAAATTCGAGCCATATAAGTCACAGTAAAAATAACAAAAACCAGCGACGCAGCAGCAACCTAACTGGAAATCAGCCAACACACACCACCGAGCAAACCAGCTACTAAATTCACCCTAAACCGAGCCCTAAACAAGCCTAACAATACCCGAGGTCCTAGGCGACATTTGGGAAGGTCACTTACCTAAGAAAGGCGAGACGAACGGGCTGGATTGGAGGCTGAAACGGGCGGAACAGCAGCAGCAGCAGCAACACCGGCGGTGATGGGAGGAAATGAAGATGAAGAGAGAGAGAGAGAGAGAGAGAGAGAGAGAGAGAGAGAAAAGCTGATCGTGGGGGTTCTGGCCAGAATGGGGAGGAAGAGAGAGAGAGGAGGGTCAGCTGGTCAAAAATAGTGGCCTAGGGGCGCCACGTGTCGCGATCCTACGCGATTTGACCAAAATACCCCTAATCTAACGGTTCTAAAGAGATAGGATCAAATAATTGAGGGGTAATATCGTCTTTGGCCCCTAATAATGCAGCTGATAATTATCCATAATTATCCCAAATTATTTCCCAAAATTCGGAACTGAAACGGGCCCAGGGGCAAAACCGTCATTTTTCCGGTCCCGGGGCGAAATTCCAATTTTTGCACATACGTGTTCCATATGTGCGTGGCCAACATAATGTGGTGTCGGAATTGCGAAATCCATCGCGAAAGCCCTCGAAAATTGACTGCAAAGTTCCGGGAATAAAATAATATTATTTTTCACTTCCGAGCCAAAATTCCAATTTTTGGCCGTAACTACTCCAAATGCGCGTGGCCACCCCAAAATGACGCTAGCCTCGAAAAATAACCTCAAACGACCTCAAAATCCAACATTGGTGTCCCTAGGGGCAAAACCGTAATTTTTCCGGCCCCAGACCGAAATCCATTTTTTTGCAGAAATGGGTGGCCCCAAGGTTGGCCAAGCCAAAAACGTCATCGGCCGCTCAAAATTGTCACTTTCAAAATTCTTGATTCCCGGGCCCGAATTCCAAGAAATGACTAGAATTTAACAATCACGACTTTAGCTTATCTCTGGCTAACGGGTGGCTCATTGGGATTACGCGCTCTCGACCCGTGACCGACACCAAGTCAAATCACGTTTAAGTTTACTCTACCCGGGACGACCTCGATTGTCATATAATTGCGAGGGTCTGTCACTAGTGCCCTTCGGACACGATCAATCAAATAGACCGGTCTCGGTTGGCTCAAAACATTCCCTTGTCAATCCATATGGTCGAAGATCGAACCTAGGTCGAGTTCTTTGGTCGTGCGAACTCAATCCCGTAATAGCCCTACCCCTAAGGTTAGCATCCCGTGAATGCGCATTTCCGGGTGAGATTTCACTACAAGTGCATTGGCCAAAATATTCATTTCATAGATCCCGGGAAAATGATCGAAAATTCAGACTGTTACAGTGAGAGTGGACGTAGACTTGGAATCAAAGCCAAACTACTATATATCCTTATGTGCAGTTGTTTATTCTTCTGTTTATTATCTCTAGCATATGAGTGACACATTGCCTCTGTTACAGCTGGTGTATTATGTGATACCTCTTTGTTACACGCTGTTTTCCGCAAAAGTTTTAAAATCTTCCAAAGCAACCTATTCACCCCCCTTTAGGTTGCATTGTTAGTCCCAACAAATGCTAGAGGAGCTCTTGTTGGTTTTTTAATGAACGTGAAGGTTTAACAATTGTCGAAAGGAGCTACTCGAAAACTCCATGGTCTTGGCTCAATAAATGTGTTTTTTTTTGTGTTGATATTTTGGCCTTGGGATAATTATTGTGTGGACTGTTTGTCTTCATCATTAAATGTATTGTTAGTGTTCTTCTATTATATAAGGATGTGAGGGTGAGTGTTGTATATCTATCAAAGCCAATAGAAAGCATTCTAAGAACCATTTCTCCCTCCAATTTTGTGCCCTTATTCCAAATTCCGAAGTTTTATTATTATTCTTTTGGTTCCAAAATTTGGTATCAAAGCCAGAAATGGCATCCATATTTTCTTTCAATTGCAACTTCCAAAGTTGAACCTGAAGAATTTCAATAATTGGTCTGTCCAGATGAAGGTTCTCTTCAAATTACAAGCTTTGTGGAATTTTTTGGGAAATGGCTACACCAAAGTGGCCGATGCTAAAGCATTCGATGCTTAAAAAAGGAGGAGAAACATTTGTTGGTGGAGTCCCAGAAGGAAGATGAGAAAGCATTGTATGTGATCTTTCAAGCCATGGAGGAAACGACATTTGAAAAGATATTAAGTGCGGAGACATGAAAGTACCATGGGATATTTTGCAAAAATCCTACAAAGGTGATGATAGTGGATGCTTTGTGAATTGATGCCTAAACAAACATGCCCTTCCAAAATATGTGTGACAATAAGTCGGCTATTGCATAGCCAAGAATCATGTTTTTCATGGTAGGAGCAAACATAGTAATGTCAAGTATCACTATAACCGTGAGTGAGTCAAAGATGGTGAGTTTGAGCTTGATTTTTGCAGATTATCAATTTGCAGATATTTTGACAAAACTATTGAATGCGGATTTGTTTGAAAGATTAAAGATGATGCTTGGTGTTGTTGAATTCCAAAATCAATTTTAAGGGAGGTTGTTAAAATAATCTAAAATTGATTGTTGAAGATTTCAGAATGTGGGTTGCTGCGTTCTAGATTTGGTTGTTAATATTCTTCAAATGACGTCTTGATTTATGCTGGGTGTTAGAAAAAGAACCAAGACGAAAGGAAATCAATATGATTTCCGGTGGGCTATCTTTGGTTTGCCTCTCCACCATTCAACAATTAGCAGCTTTCGTGAGGAAAAGAGGAGCTTTTGATGGGTTTTGTCAAAAAGCGTGAAGTTTGAACAACTGTTAAAAGGAGCTGCCAGAAGACTTCATAGCTATTGGCTCATGTAATTTGTGTTTCTTGTGTTGACATTTAGTCCTTAGAATAATAAGTGTGTGGACTATTTGTCTTCGTCAGGCTCCGTTCGTTTGGCGGAAAATATTCTCCTTTTGGAAAATATTTTCCCGGAAGTCATTTTCCTGGAAAATGTTTTCCCGGAACATAATTTTCCGGTGTTCGGAGACCAATATGAAAAAGTTTCGGAAACTATTTTTCGTCGGCGACCGGCGGCGGGCGGCGACCGGCGGCGGCGGCCGGCGACCTTAGTGAAGAAAAAGAAGAAGCTCCAGAAAAATGATTTCCTCTTTTGAAGAAGCGGAAGTCATTTTCCGTAGACTTAGGCTATTTTGTGAGGGGGGGAAGGAAAATAATTTCCCACGGAAAACGTTTTCCGCCCCCCGAACACCGGAAAACCCGAAAAATATTTTCCGGGAGAATATTTTCCGCCAAACGAACGGAATGTGCTGCACGTGTTTTGCTTTTATATAAGGACATGATGGTGAGTGCTATATATCTACCGAAGCCAACAGAAAGCATTTTAAGAACCATGTCCCCCTCCAATTTTGTGACCCTATTCCAAATTCCATAGTTTTATTATTATTCTTTTGGTTCCAACGTAGGAAGCATTCAACTTAGCATTGCATTTGGATGTTATTTTGAGAAAAAAAATGGAGAGAATGAGACACCAAAGGTGCGTCTGAAGTGAAAAAAATGGAAAAAAAAAGGAATACATAGGGACATTACGGTTGGAAGACACTGAAGGCGTGGAAAGATAAGAAAAATGGGACCAACGAGGAAAGAAAAGGAGGAGGAAAAAAAAATGAACAACACATTTGACTCAATAAAAATATGAGATTAATGCTAAAAGGTGGGCCATGTATGGGACAATAAGGTTAAAACACTATGATAGAGAGTGTCTAAACCAAATGAAAAGTGAAAAAAGTGCAGCCTATAAAATCATTACCTAGCCATTTATTAGCCATTGATAAAATGATGACAACCTAATTGATAATTAGAAAGGATAAAATATTCAGTATGCTTTACATTGAGAATATTTTAAGAACCATTTCTCCCTTCAAATTTTGTACCCTTATTCCAAATTCCAAAATTTTATTATTTTTCTATTGGTTCCAACACAGGAAGCATTCAACATAGCATTGCATTTGAATTGTTTTTTAGAAAAAATGGGAGATAACGAGACACCAAAGGCGTGTATGAAGGAAAAAATGGAAAAAAAAGGAATAGAGAGGGACACTACGGTCGCAACGAAAGAAAAGTAGAGAAAAAAAGAGGAACAACACATTTGACCAAATAAAAAGAGGAGATTAATGCCAAAAGGTGAGTCACGTAAAGGATAATATGGTCAAAACACTATGATAGGGAGTGTCTAAGCCACATGTGGAGTGGAAAAAGCGTGACCCTTCCTTTCTTTATTCACTTAACCTTTGTTTTGGCTGCTCCCTCTCTCTCCAATGGCCCTTTTTTTTTACCATGTTTACCTTGGCAATCATATACTTTTATTCCTCACATCAAAAGCATGTATTCATGTGTGTAGGACATATTTGGTCGGGGCTGAATAAGAAAACAAAGTAAATAGTTTTACGGATTATAGACAATGGGATATAGTTCTCTTACCTTACCAAAAAAAAAAAAAAAAAAAAAAAAGACAATGGGATATAGTTTATTTGGTTTTTATATAGGGGTGTTCGTATGACGTTGGCGGAGGAGCACTTGGGCCACGGATCTTAGTTATACTCCTCCCACACGTCTACATGAAAGAGCCAAGCGTTTCCATTGGTAGGTAATCTCCACCGAACTAGTTGAAAAAATAGTTTGGGCTTCTTCTGGAAACATGCTTACGTGGGCTCCTTTTTTTACTGCAAACTCTTAACTTGTCCTTGGGAGACTTGAACAACCCGACATTAGTACATTCAACTACCCACCATTAGACTGGATGCTACTATATATATATCTACAAAGATGAATCAGTTTTCCCACATTGGTACTGCAAGTGATAAGCTTAGTTGAGCAACGTTTAGCGATAGCAAAAAGAGAGTCAATTTCGTCTCAAATGGATACTGTTTGCCCAGTCACTCCACACCATCAAGAAGCTACTTTGTCAAAGCTTAAAATAGCAAGTGTTAAGACTCTGGTTGAATCTTCCAACCTCACTTCCATCCCTTCCCACTATGCCTACACCACCTCCACTTCCGGTGATCAAGCCATTCACGATGACTCCATCCCGGTCATCGACTTCTCTCTTCTCTCCTCGAGCAATCCCGACCAACGGTCTAAAGCCGTCTCAGATCTTGCAAAGGCTTGTGAGGATTGGGGCTTCTTCATGGTACATAATGTTCCTAGCTAGTTCATTACCTGCTTCATAGTACCTTTCTTTTATTTTATTATCTCGCAAACATGCAAAACAAACTATTGGTATTTTTCATCAGATTTTGCTTATCCAACTGCCATAATTCTTGAAGGGAAAATTATCCAAAAAAGTCTTAAATCTATTACAGTTTTGCCAATTGAGTCAAACCTTTCAATTTACCAATTAAATCCTAAACCTTTTGATAATTTGTCAATTGAGTCCATCTAGCCTGAATTCACTAACGCGGGTGCCGGCCATCCTACGTGGTATGGCCAGCATTGACAAGGACAATTTTAAAAAATATTTTAATATTTTTTTCGAATTTTTATTTTTTCTTTCCTACTTTCTTTTTTCCCGTTTTTCTCTTTTCCTTCTTTAATTTTTCAATGTGGTCGGGGAAGGCTCAGTGGCCCTCACCATCCTCAAACGAGAGTCGCGTGGCCCTCACCCTGCCTCTCCCACATCTGGGCGAGGCTAGCCTCGCCATGGCCTCGCCGACCGTCGGTGAGGCTGCCTTTGCCCATGGTCAAGCACCACCCACCAACAAGAACGGAGACCATGCGTCTTCCCTCCTTGCTTCGTGTTCAACCCTTTTTCTTTTGCTTCTGCCATAGTCAGGATGGCCTTTGCATCGTGAAGGCGGCCACGACCCTTGCCTATGAAGCCATTGCGGCCGCGGCGAAGGCGACCTCCCCCACATTTGGGCGAGGCCAAATGAGGGCCGTGCGACCCTTGCCCACGGCCAGCAAGGGCCGCTAGGCCCTCCCTTGCCACAGCAAAAAAAAAAAAGGAAAAAGAAAAGAAAGATAAATAAAAATTTGAAAAATATGAAAATATTGTTAAAATTGTCCACCTCAATGCTGATTATCTTACGTGCCACAGCTAACATCCATGTCATCGGATTCCTGCCAAAATTGGTTGGATAGACTCGATTGGTAAAATTGAAAAATTTAGGACTGAATTGGCAAAATTGCAATAGTTCTTGAAAGATTAGCAACAATTTGAATCGAATTGGCTGATTCAACATATGGTTGTTCATTCATGCCGGAGCTAAAGAGAATTAATGAGAAATTATTCTCATGGCTTAACTTGCGTGAGATTGGGCGCTGCTCGTAAATTTATGCTCATGACTGCAACAGTTTCTTGTTTACCACGTATTGATCATATAGCCCTTGGTTGTACATGTGAGTAGCTGATCAACCACGGAGTGCCCGAGAGTCGAATGAAGGCGACGGTTGAGGCCCTGATGGGATTCTTCGATCTGACAGAGGAGGAGAAGAGTGAGTTCGAAGGGAAGCACGTGTTGGACCCCATAAGGTACGGGACGAGCTTCAAAGCTTCGGTCGACAAAGTGCTCCTCTGGAGGGATTTTTTGAAGATGATGGTGCATCCAAAGTTTCACTGCCCCACCAAACCAAAAGGCTTGAGGTACCCCATTCTCTCCCTCTCTTTCTTTGAAAAAAAGGTCTAATATGTATTGAAATAATGGAAAAAAAAAACCACAAAAAACCTTAAACCGTGTCCACCGTGACATGTTTACCCCGAACTTTTTATTGTGACATAAAAAGTCCCAAACCATGCCCACTGCGACACATGTATCCTAAACTTTTTCTTATGACGTAAAAGTAGGCAGATTTTTAACTTTGTATTTTTCAGCCAAAACAATGTCGTTTTTATTTCACTTAAGCATGAGGGCGTCATGTCAACGCCATTTGCTTTCCGATATATAAGTAGGCAGATTTTTAATAGTGGTTATTGACAGAGCCTTGACGGCGGGTAAATGTGTCGCACAGATATACGTATGAGGGTTTTGGTATCATGGAAAAAACTTTAGGGTACATGCGTCATAGTGGGCATAATTTGGGATTTTTTGTGGCTTTTACCCTTGAATTTATTTCTACGCTTTGCGTGCATGTTCTCAGTTTGCATATACGTATGGATATTTCTGTTTTCTTAATTCCATTTGTATATAAAAGTTTCAGTTTACCACACCACAAATATCAACAATCTGATGTTTTACTAATTGTGGTAATGACAACTATATGTCCTAACTGTAGCTTCAATGCTACAGACCAGAAGCAACAGAATCTTCCCCTTGTGGACATTTTTTTCGCAATCGAGTATAGGATGAACCTACAGAATCTTAAGGGAGTGAAAAATTGAAGAGTAAGTATGTGGGTAGAGCAAAATAAGTTGTCACTCTTCTCAACTTGTTATGCTAAAATAATGTTCAGAGTTATCAATGCATCCAGATCTAGTGCACAGTATAAAATTATCAGGTACATCAGAAAAAAAAATTGATGAGGAACTTGAACAAATTCTTCATCGGAAAAAAAATTGAGGAGAAACTTGAACAAATTCTTCTTCCCTGGTAACACGAGAATCCGAATCTCCGTCCTGACTAATTCCCATCTCCGTCCATGTATAAGACTCTGTCCACTTGGGAGGCAGATCCGAGCTCTAAAGTTACCTATATGCGAGACGATGTGATTTGGATACCAGATTTTCCGTATCTACTTGACCACTCAATTAATCATGGGGGATCTGAACATGAACAACTTCAATCCGTCTGAGACACGAGCTCCAGCATCTTTGGTTCCGGTTTGTTAGTTTTGTAAAGTTGATCTATATTTACCTAGAAATCTGGCAGTCTTGAAATATCGGAATAGAAAGTACACGATTCTTATGTTAGGGAAGCATTATTTTGGATCATCTTGACGTTAGACAAACAATTTTGTACGCCTAGAAAAAATAATCAAAGTGTGGATTCAATTTGATAGAGCAAAACAATTGGTAATAACCCAGATAAAAGATTTGAGTGATAGAAACTTGTGAAATCCCTAAAGATGAAAAGAACTCCACCACGGCATTTCCTCTGATGAATGAAAGCAATGTCTCTTGCAGTAAAGTTTTGGCAGAGTACTCTGGAGCGCTTCGAAAATTAGTGAGGGAACTGCTCAAGGGTATATCGGAGGGCCTAGGACTCGAACCGGGCTATATCGACGAGGCAATGAATATGGATTCAAGCCTACAGATATTAGCAGCAAATCTGTATCCGGCATGCCCACAGCCAGAACTCGCTATGGGCCTACCCTCACACTCAGACTATGGCCTGTTGACCATCCTCATGCAGAATGGAGTTGGCGGCCTTGAAGTTTATCATGACGGGAAGTGGGTCCAAGCCGATCTCATTCCAAATGCCTTTGTGGTCAACACCGCTGATCAGCTCGAGGTAAATATACAGAAATCCATGTTTCATCTTTCTAATCTCCCTTATGTGACTCGCAAGAGAGGTTCAATAAATTGCAAATTTTGGTGTGAATACTGTGTGCCTTGGTTTATAGATGCTGATAAAATGTAGGTATTATGCAAGGGACATTGTCATTATACATAGAACTATAGTACATACAGTTGTCTTAAAAATTTTCTAAAAACCTGCTCTATTGTCTTTGTTTCTTTAACCGGATATTAATCAGTTAAAGTTGATACGAATCTTTGTGATTTACTCTAGTTTCTCCTGTTGAACAGATCAAGCTTATTTTAACTAATTTTTTTTTCTCGACACTTTACAATTGTGCAAGATTATAAGCAATGGGAAATACAAGAGCGTTCTACATCGAGCTATCGTGAACAACAAGGCTGCAAGGCTATCGATCCCTTTTTCTGCTGGACCGTCGCCTGACACTGTCGTCGTGCCAGCGAAGCAGCTGGTGGATGGTGAGCACAACCAAGCCACATACATCTCGATGAATTACAAGGACTACCTGGAATTTAAACAGAGCAAAGTAATTGATGGGAAATCGTAACTGAATCAGGTAAAGATATGATTTTGTGCAGCCTACTGTTATGCTGCATTATGTTAAAAAGGGATGTGTGATTGTGTTTTGCTTCAAGACTGTTTGGACTCTTTGGAGAGCAACCTTATGGAACGTTTAATATTATGTGGTGAAAGGTGCAAGAAACATACAGCACTGATGTATGTAAGCTGAACCTTTCTGTGATGTATCTTCTTGACATAATAAATGGAAGTGAGAACTAAATAATGTCTGATTAAACACTGTTGAGTTTGTAGTGCTATACCAAATCTCGATGGTTGGTCAGTATGAACAAGCAAATTTGCGTATCCAGATTTTCACCAGAAATGGCCACTTCATTTGGCTGAAAATATTGGGTACTCGCCGCAACTCGATGAACTTTTTTCGAAGATAATCTCCTCAAGGAAAATTCTGATCTGTTTAGGCTGAGACAATACGTTGACCTCTAGAATCATAACCACAGAGGCATTTTGGGCCTATGTTTAGGATGATGCTAAAACCCCGGTTTCTTTTAGTTTTCACAGTTTCGACTAGACATTGCACCGATGAAACCTGATTTTGTCCAATCTTGATGGGATGCTGAGTGGGTATTTTCCCACTATGTTGCGCGATCAAACAGAATGATTAGTTCTCAAAGCAAATCAAGCATAATTCAGATGTTTTACAAGAGTACTCATCGTGTTCAGACAACTTTCTTAGTCTCTGTGTTTGGTTCCCTTCCCTCTCATTACGTCAAAAACATCTGGGTGAACAGAAGTCCAATAGCTTCAGATTCATGCCAATATGGGCGAGGATAGCTCTTTCTCATTCTCGTGATGATAGTGAAGTGTTCAGGCCAATCCTGTGCTTGCAATATGTTGTGCCCAATGAGTACAGTGGAAAGTAGATGGGAGTCATTCTCATTCCAACCTGTTGGAAACTTGGATTCCAAATACCATACACGAGAAAATGCGGAAAACATCTCTAGGAATACTTGAATCATTGATCGAAAGGTATATTATGCAACGGAACGTAGCTTGATTTCCACAGATTAAATGCACGTTTGCAACTTCGAGAGAGTTCCAGTTTCTGGTCTTCAAGCATATAAGAGAATGATTGAGAGTGAGAGTTAGAGGAGCTTTTTTCCTTTATGTTTTTCTTTGTGTTCGTGTATGTCACTCTTTTCTTAGTTCTTATTTCTTGAAGAATAAAAGAACGCCACTTCCCTTTTGGAAATTGCATCCCACTAAAATACAAATAACTACCTTTTGCTGTTACATTTGTTGAATATGGGCTTATTTGCCCAACAAGGGTGGCCCATAAACTATCATCTTCCACTCACCCATGATGGGACAAATGTAACTCTCTCTTCTTTGCACAATTCATATCAACAAATAATCTGTGCGACCAGCATAATTTGAGAGCTCGTTGCCATACATCTGTTAGGAATATATAGCAACTCAAATTGGACATTATCAGTCAGAGTAGGTGTAATATGCTGTATTCTAGTGTCGCAACCTTCCCGGAGGTGAACCACTAGGGGAAGGCTAATGGACCTACTAAACGAGAATGAAGGTTTCTCTCACAAGGCAATCGCTCAACTTTAGTGCGGATTCTCCCAAGCCCATCCGACCGCAACTTGGTACTCGATTTAATCATGACATTTATCTTACCTTTCGGAGCCGCCACTAATCGGTTGTGGGTCGATTAGACACCCAAGTAAAATATGGGAGTACATTTTACTTCTGTGAACCAGAGATTCAAGGGATTCGGAGACTTGGTTACGCTAGATTAATCTAACACCCTTTCGGTACCTTTTTTCTTAATTTCAAAAAATGTTTTTGCGGATCAATGAATCACGTCCAGAAAATATTAAGGGTTTGACCTTAGTGTCTAAAGGTCCAAATGCCTTAATATATTTTGGTTAATGCAAAGTAAATATATAACTAGATAACATAAGGTTTTATTGACTAATGACATTCAGTTAAAATCATGTATTAAGTATCCACAAATTTAAACTAACATTATCCTCACCTTAGTTATAGTTATCCACAAGAAGTTGATCTAAAGTGAGGGGGATCGCAACAGCAATAATAGTGATGTAACAGCGAGTAATGAATAGCAAGTGTCAGCGATGAAGAACAGCACATCAGCGACAATCGAATGGCAGCGAGAAGCGACAACAGCGAACGGCAATGAGCAGCAGCAGCAAGGACGCAGCAACAGAAAATAGCCACAAACAATGACGAACAACAGCAATGCAGCAGATGGCAATGAGTAGCGACGATGATCAGCGACAGCAGCGAACGGTGGCAAGTAGCAACAGCAGTGAACAGCGACAGACAGCAGTGAAACAGTGAGCAGCAACGACAAATAGCAGCAAGCAGTAATGGCGAGCAGTAGTGAGCAGCGAAAGGCAACGAGCAGCGGCAGCAAGGACGCCGCAGTAGCAAACAGCAACAAACAATGACAAACAGCAGCGACGCAGCAATGAACAGCAGTGACGAACTGCTGCTATGAACAGTAGCGCAATAGCGACGATGAGTAGCAGCAATAATAATGGCGAACAGCAGCAGCGAGGATGCAATAGCAGTTTGACATCCTCAAATTTCGACTCTATTCGGGATATAATGAAGTGATTATTTATCGATGCACTGTTAGTAAATCTCGCTCTGAATTGATCACTCATGAGACTAACCATTAGAGAAAGGCTATTAAGGAATTAAGTATGCACGACCTGAGAACTCGATCACGGATTAACAATTCGACCATAAGGATTGACGAGGGACAATTTTGAGCCATCATAAACCGATCAAGGAACGGTTATAGAATGTTTTGCCAATAGTATACAATCGGAGCGCGGGTGATTCCGTTTGACCATTGTATGGATTGCGAACAACCTTAAACCAATTCCTAACGATCGTGTACTTCGGAACTAGCAATTGAACCCTCGCAATTACATGACAACCAAGATCATCCATGGTTCGAGAAAACTTAAACGTGGATTGATATTAAATCAACCACGGGTCGAATACGCGTAACTCCTAAAAGCCGTCTGTTAGTTTGAGATATACTAAAGTCGTAATTGATCAATTTTGACCATGAATTAGAGTCCGAAATTGGGTGTCAATCTTTTGAGGATTTTAAGACTAAACTATTGGACGTCGCCTCGCTAATCCTCCGATTTATCGATTTGCTCAGAATTCTCGGAAAAGGATTAATAGGCCGAGAATTTGGAGCCCACGAGGAAGTGGGCCTGACAAAGGCACATTGTGATGTAGCTAGCAAGAATCACCTAGAGGGGTGTCGCGACCTCCCTAAACCGGCCCCGCCGCCTAAGGGGTTAGGCTAATGGATTATTAAGTTAAACCTAGCTCGAGCTCTCCCAAGCTCATATCAATTCGCGACTTAAGTTAAAGTTATTAACATGGAAATCAATTTCACCTAGGAGTCGCCACTAATCAGTTTTTGGTGGGTCGATTAGACACCCAAGCAAAGCAGGGGAGAAATGCTTTACTTCTACGAACCAGAGATTCAATGAGTACGGGGACTTGATTACACTAATTGACCAACTAGTGCCCTTTCGGTACCTAATCTTGCTCAATTCACCACCTAACGTGTTCACACTAACTGGGAGTTTAAAAAATTCATTCCTAACCAAGCTAAGGGAAGCAACAATCACTACATGAACCTAACATGCATAATCAACCATATGCGAGTTTAAATTAAACATGCAATTCAAAGCGTGCGAATCAAGCGAGGAGCAATCAAACATACGCTAATCACACAAAAAGGGAGAGAAAAGCAATTCTGAAACCCAATTTCCAATTTTTGGATTTTCGAAATTTTTCTATTTTTTTTTTTTAATTTTTCGTTTTTTATTTAAAAATAATAATAATTCCCTAAATCGGCCTATGCTCGGTTTACGTGAACATGAAACAACTCAGAATATGAATATTACGAGAACCGGGCTCAAATCAACCGTTTCAAGATCGAAACTTGGTTTGGGCATTTCGTCGAGCATTTGGTGTGCATTAAAATGCCCCAAATGGCTTCCTCGAGCCATATTCGTGGCCTTCAATCTTACTCCGTGTGTAATATCAAGTGGAACCAAAGTATCAAGGTTATATTATCACATGCAAAGAACAAGATTAGCTAGAAATCACAACCTAAAACGCACGAGAACCAAGTTGGAATCGGCCTCCAATATGTGGGTTCGGGCTGCTTTTGCAAATTTGGGTTTAAACCCAGGTCAAGCAAACCTGTTGCATGCCCAGGTTTAAGCCCCGACACTCATCACGTGCAAGATCTATGGGAAACATCACTTCATCTGAGAGAATATACGTAACATCTACTTTTAAATGAAACAAACATCATGGAGAATGATCAAGCGAACATGTCGAAACAACCCCCCCAAGAAGCATACATGCATGGTTCATAATGACTAGCCATGAATCAATGTGGGTTAGCTTGGCTTTTGACTCAAGTTGCAAGCGATCTCATGGTTCACACGGGGCTTCAAAGACCAAACCAAGTGGATCTCAGCCTAATTTGTACACCCATATAACATTCATCAAGCTCACGAAGGTAGAAAACGCATGCAAAGAGGAGTAGCAAGTCAAACATTTAGGGCTCATGAAGGAGCTCTAACACTTAGGAAAAATTCCAGCCTCAGAAATCAGTTCTCTGGGCTGGTTTTCTCTTGATTTTTTCATAACTAAAACATATTCAAAATTGAACAAAAATACATGTAGGATACTCACCTTGCTTCCTAGTTTCTCTTTGAAGTATCCCTTGGCCGAGGGAACCAAAAACCTGTCTTCCAAGGGCGCGGGGAACTAGGCTTCTTCAAACTGGAAAATGAGATCTGCAAAGAAGGAACTGACAACGAAGGTTTTTGTCGGTCTCCAAAACCAGAATCAACGACCTCCTTTTCTGACTAATTTAACACTAACCCAAACTAGATGTATTCTAGTTTAATTTTCAAGTCACAGGTATCCTCATATATTCCTCATGTCTCTCAAAAACTCCCACTTTCCCTCACCAGTAACCATCTGACTTCAACACTTACAAGATTTCTGGGTTTCTCTCTTGACCCGAGAATGGGCTGCTTTTCGAGGGGATTTTGGGTGGCTTCCTGACATCCATTTGGGGCGTGCGACCTATGGTTGGAAAGATATTTGAATTTAGTTCCACTCTCTAGTTGAAGGTTTTGGCTAATTTTGGCTCGAAGTTCACGAAAATCTCACTTTCCTCTCCAA